AGACAACTTTTCATGTTTTCCGTTCCAATTTTTTCGTAGTTTATGATCCAAAAAATTTGAAAATCTGAAGGAATCTTCTTAACCTCCAAATCCCAAAAATGCCATCATTTTATTCCAACAAAAACTTGGAACTAATATTCAGGAGCCAGTAAGTCATTCTGCTCCTTATCGTGGTCTAGAAACCCAAAAGTTTGAAATTCTAGGTCACTTGAAAATTCTTCTTTTTCAGAGATTTCTGTTGTCTAAAAACCGTCAATCTTGATTTCTACGGTCTCTTTAGAATACATATTTGGAGCATATTTGGAAATGGCAAACCACTGAAAATCGCCTTACTATAGTATTTGAGAAAAATGTCGTGTACACTGTGATCCGAAGATTTTCTCGGATTTTTTGGTTTTGGGTTCAAAATCTAGGATGTGTAGCGGTTCAAAAAACGTGTAGAGGTTCAAGATGTAGCCAAAACTTATGACTCGATTTTGATAACAATTATATAATTAACTAGAAGAAATTCAAAAATATGCAAACACCAAAAAAACCAAGTTTCTAGCCCTTATAGGAACCACGATACAACCATTTGAACTGTTAGAGGTGAGAGACGCAGACGACGAGACACGCTGCGTCCCTAACCTTCGAATGTTCGAATCGCTTCTCGGCTTCTAGATGAGTTAAACAGTTGGTTTTTGGACCAAAATGAAGCCAGATTTCACAATTTTCGAATTTAAAAAGTTTGGGTTTCAGTGAACCCAAAACTTCAGAATTTCTACAAAAAGTCGATAAAATTAGAATCTTAAATTTCGATTTCTGAATTCCGCCAAGAATGAAATATCAGACAGTTCAGCTGAAGAGCTTTAAACTTTAAAAAAATGCTAGACTAGATAATTATAGTTTTATCTGAAAAAATTGGTGTATTTCTGTTGTTACGGTATGCATTTTGACGCTAGGTCTACAGTGTTCAATGCTCACCCAGCGCGTGGCTACGGTAACTCAGCTGGTAGCAGCCCGGCACCCTCGCCGTTGGGTTCACCAGTTCAATCCCGCAAAATTATTGTTTTCCTGTCCTCTCACCTTTAACTTTGAGAGCCCTATACTAACAAAAGCATATTTTTTATTTATCCTCTACCCCCAAAGATCCAATCCCCTAGACATCCAAGTACATCCATCCTTATTCCCTTATTCTTCTCCTTCTTTTTGTCCCCATCTCTTACTCATTTTGCGGTCATCATATGTATCCATTTTTTGTCAACATTAATCATTTTCGACCCCTATTAGTATTCGTTAATCAGCTCTTAATCATCCTCTATTCTTATCATTAAAAAAAAAAAAAGAAAAGAGATAACCCCTGACGTTTAGGTATGCAATAAAGTGAGTAATCTTCATAGTTTAATCCCAAAAAACATGATAAATCTAGCTAGCGTGTTTAATGTATATTGAGCGAAGAATAGAATGCTCTGGAGAACAAAAAATACCCGGAACGGATTATTTTGTCACATGTGGAGAATAGACCAAGCCATTCGATGAATGAGTGTTTTAGCAAAAAGTTTTTTTTTCTAAATGACACGTTTTTTGAATGGAGAAGTTGAAAATAGTGAGACCAAAATAAAAGAAAAACAAGACACAATTGATCGAGTGGTTTTTTTGAACACTTGAATTTTTGGCTCTGAAAAAAATGGAACCCAAAAAAAATTTCAGATGAATCCTCAGAATCGTTCAAAAACTTCCTCCCAAAGTTCATGACTTCAGGAGTGAAATTTTCAGCTTCCATTCAAAAAATCACGATGAAAGCCGAAATTGGATCATGTACTGAAAATTCAAAATTTCCGATCGTCACTTTCAGAAGCTTTATTATTTTAAGAACATCGCTCAAACTATGCAAATCTTCCTAACCCCCCAAAACTATAAACCCCATTTTTGATCCCGGATCTAAAGCTACACATACCCGAAATTTCTGAAAGCGTCACAATCTGAAAATCTATGGCTGATTATATTTCGGGAGAATCGAACGAAACAAATCACACAATTTCTTAAAAAATCAAATCTCTATGTTTTGATCACGGAACTGAGCTCAATTAGTACTACACCTCCACCATTAGCACCTGCAAGAATTTCTGATTTTTTTTTGTGTCGCCATAGGTCTATTTTTTAAACGTTATTAGAAAATGTCATGCCATTTTGGGAAAAGCAACTAGAAGTGGGGGACGTCATCAAACAAATCAGATTTGACAAAATTAGCGAGTGGGAGTTCTCCTGGAAGAACGAACAATTACAGAGATTACAAAGAACACTTATTTTGTTTTGCTTGTTTTTCATGAAGAACATTTTGCAGTTGTGGGTTTTCTTGAGATCTAACACCAAACAAAATTTTAGTTTGAAATTTTGAAATCTGGAGAGAATGGAACCTTTCTGGGAAGCTACCGTAAAGCCTCTAATAGAAGGGCCCCTTTTTGCCAATTTATCTCACTATCAGTACCAGTCAAAGATATTAAAAAGTTGTCAACTAATAAATTGCTTGTCATAATATCACCAACATTTTATCAGTTGAATACTTTTTGATGCCTTTCCCACAGGAACCGAGATAACTCCAACTAGGCAGTGTTGGGGCCATTCTGTTAGAGTTTTTACGATAATTTCTTTTTCAAAAAAAATTCGGGAAAAAAATTGCTATCCGTTTTCACCTATTTTAACGGTAGGCAAAAATTCAGTTTTGACGGGAATTTTACCAAATTCGGAAGTTATTTTAGATGAAAATTCATCGGATTCCAGAAAATCAGAACTTTAAGACTAACAATACAGAAAAGTTGATCTTCAAAAGAAACTCGAGCCCTGTCAACGGTTCGATTTTTGAAATTTTGAAATTTTGAAGTTAGCGTTAGAGCGGGATTTCAATAAATAATTGGACTTGTGAGAACTTTTCCGAAAACCAAATTACCTTGAATTCTCATTTTTCGTCAAAACATTAGAGTGTTTTGAAGAATAACTGAAAAAAAACCTTAGTGCTCTTACTAGACCATTCTCAGGAGCTTTCAGAGAAATATAATTACCTTTCTTACTTACCCGAATTTTTGCTTAAATCCATGACCTAGACTCACTTGTTAGCTAAATTAGCTCAACTTCTAAACTCTCGAGAAATTCAATTTTTCGAAATAGTAAACTAAATTCAGATTACCGGTAACACTATAAAAGAATTTAAACCGTCAACTTTAAGCGCACATAACTCCTTTTCTGTGAAATATATGAAAAAAGTTGTCAATTGACAAAATCTTTATCATAATATCACAAGCATTTTATCAGTCGACATATTTTGATATCTTGCATGGTAATTGAGATAATTAAGCTTAAACTTGCAAGGGTAGAGACCGTTCAATTACAGGCATTACGGAAAGATTCATTTCTGGATCCCTGAAAGTCTAGAATTGTGGTCTGCTGTTCCTTTATATTATTTCCCTAGTTCTCCAGTTTACTTTTTTTCATTATAGTTTCCATTTCCAGACCAATTATCTCTGCTCTCCCACTCGAAACTTTCGAGTCATCACTTCTAAACGTCATTTCCCAACAAAAAGTAGTGTGTTATCTTTCTCTATCTAATGTCAAAGATCGAGTATACTCTCTTCATCTCTATTATTCCCCGAAAATAGGCGGAGCCTAACTGAGAAAAGCTGGGAAGTGGGCGGCGCTTGAGAAAAGGCGAGTTGACGCCTCCACCTGAGCTCATTCTATAGCATTCTTGTGAGCAAATAAAGAGAGAACTCTGGGGTTCATTTTATTTTGATAAATAAAAAATTTATTTAGGGTTCCAATATTGATAGCAAATTTTTTCATTAGTTTTTCCCTCTCTGTCGTATAGCAAACTTTTTTTCTGGAACCTTATACATCCTGATTATAATTACAATGTTGCCTCTTCCGATGTTTCTCCATATATTTTTTATTATGTGCATGCGAAATGTGAAGAGCCCCTCTTTTTCTGCCGAGATGGCGTCCTGACGTCGTCAGGTCTTCTGAATTTGAAATCCATTGTGTGCCAAGCGGTGTCATGCTACTAAGGTTTTGATTTTTGAAATTTGAAATTTTATCATTAATCAACCGAAAAACTCATGATACATACTTTGAGTCCCATGAACCGAAAAGTAAAAGGGGCGGAGCCAACTTTCTCTTTCTTTTTTATTCCGTTTTTTTTTCTCAGACATGTCCCATTAAGACCTCCAATCATTAACCAATTTTCAGGTAATCCCACACAACTTGTGTCCCCCACCACACGTCATCCCAAAATGAGTTGCACCTCGATGCTCTTCGTTATGCTTGTCGCCTGCATGGCACTTTCCAACGCGTGAGTTTTGAAATTTTTGGAAGAATACGGTCCAGGAATTGTTAAATTAGTCCTGACTGAAGAATCTAGGTCCTGGCTGACGTATCTAGGTCCTGATTTAAGAATCCAGCTCCTGACTCGAGAGTCTAGGTTCAGACTTAAAAATGTAGGTCCCGACTGAACAATCTAGGTCCTGACTGAAGAAGCTAGACCCTGACCTAAGAATCTAGGTCCTGACTTGAGTCTTGACTTGAGAATCTTGAACTAGAACACCTAACTCTCCTATTTTTGACCTCTCAGAACTCTCCTATTTTTGACCCTTGTCTTTGGTCCATGCATTTTTTGGTTATCAAAGTAACATCACTTTTTGGCTGGTCCAATGACGCAAGCAGTATCTCAACTTTGATCCGGAGCTGTCACAAAAACCATCTAGTTTATTTTGATTTGCAACTTTAGAAGATACTCTGGCATTATAAATACATGAGTCTATTGTTGGGTCCACAACCCAAGGCCCTTATTTTTTTGAACAGGTCCTCCAAGGACCCAGGTCCCCTCTCTATTCTAGGGACGCCTATGTTCTTGGTTGCGTCTCACCTAAGATTTCAAGGTCTACTTACACCTAGATTAGATCGTAAAGCAATGTTGTATAGCCCAACACCCTTGGAAGGGCTCATACAAAACAAATTCTCCAATTTCCAGCATGTACATCAACCCGGACTACTACTACGTCGAGCAGCTACCAACCATGAAGAAGTCGGGTCAACTCCGGGCTCTGGCCGGTTCGCGTAACTGCTTCTTCTCGCCAGTCAACTGCATCATCACGCACGACATCAACTCGTACCGTCGTCTGGCGAAAGGATCCAGTGTCGCGTAATAATAATTAATTTTTAAAAACAAGCACTTCAATTGGACTCTTCATTTATTTATTTGCAAAAAAAGAACATCCTCTTTTCACACAGTTTAGCTTCATCTCTTCTCTTCATTCTGAAAAAAAAACCGTTCACAAGCCAATTCCACTTGATTTCTCCCCGCACCCCCCCCCCCACAAACCCCGCCCCTCCCAATTTATCCTCTTCTCCTCCTTTTTTTGTGTGTCGCATAGCCAATTTCGATGATGATGACAATAAATGATACCACTTGTTTTTGTACTGCTTGGAGATTTGAAATGGGAAAATGAAAAATGGAAATTGGGTAAAAAATGAATATTTGAAAACCAGAAATTCGGTCTCGGTAGTTCTGCAGGGATGTTTAAGCAAATTTGAGAAAAACTAGCAGATTCTGGATTCTGATTTCTTGAGTTTCTTCTTGCTTCAATCATTTTATTTTGTGTTCCAAATGACGCTATTCTCAGAACTAGAAAAAAGGAAAATTCAGGACCTGTCAGCGCCATAGTATGAAATAAAAACCAATAATTAGTACATACTAGGTCAAACTAGATGACTCATAAAAATGTTTCTAAAAATGTTCTTAAATTTTTATCTTCCTCAAAGTTTTACTTGTTTTTTTTTGGGACACATGATGAGAGCTTCAGATCAGCCGTAGGATTTTGAATTTAACTCATCCATAGGTAGTCGGATGTTTTCGGTAATCTCCACTTTTTCATTTTTTTGGAGATTCAAAATTTCCAAATTTATCCGGATAACCTGGATTTTTGTGACGAATATGATGCCAATCAATTCCAAAGCAAAATATTAAAAAAATAAATTTGATAAGTCTCCACGGCTACAGTAGGGGCACTACAGTATATTTTGAGTTTCCAGAGAAAATGAATAAAATTTGAACCCCCGAAAAAGTTGTGCAGAATTTCCCAATTCTTCTGAAATTTTCTGAGTCTACCTAACAAAATTAGACCTTCAGTTTTGTGATTGACAGCTCTTTTGTACAAATTCAACAAAACGAGATAGCAGCTCAAAATTAGTACAGCTCTCCTTTTTGTGCTTATTTTCAGCACTTTTAAAATTAAAAACCACACACCTTATAAAAACGGAAAAGGTGTCATCTTCAGGTTTGTGATGATCTGAGCTATCTTTGGCAATATGAAAACTCTGGAATTTTTTTCAGGACTTCCAAGTTTACCATTTTTCACCAAATAAGTAATTGACCCAGGTTGGTACAAGCTACAGTAACCCAGTTGTCGTATCTACAAGCTACAGTAACCCAACTACCATAGTTCCGATACTCGTTTCCTGCTGGTTTGCGTTTTTTCATCCAAAATTTAAAATAGAATTCTTTTCGGAAGTCACCGGATCCTAGCGGAGAGCCTTGAAGGACCCTAGACAACGAATCAATCATAATTGTAAACTATTACCCAGCGGAGTCTGAGTTACAGTAATCCTACGCCCACCTCATTACGTTGTCATCCAACCGCAAAAATAACCTTTCCACGTGATGACTCCGAAACGGAAATGATTACCCATCGGAGCCATAGTCACCGCATCGTGACTCAAAATGTGTCTATCCTTCTCAACCCACACAACTGAAACACAAAAAAAGAAAATAAGAACAAAAGTTATTTCCAAATAAGGGGACGTTCCAGTTCTTCATGCATTACTAATTTGTGTTGTGATTCTGCACCTTTTCTTCTGAACTTTCACACCCATTTTGAGGGGGATGCGCTCATCTTGGGACATTTCCGGAGATTTAGAAATTTCTAGTACTTCCGATGCGGAGGGGGGAGAAACTCCATGACCATATGACGTCTTCTGATGTAGTTTAAATATAATGAATTGAAATTTCAAATTCTGAAATCAAGGGATCAATTTTTATGTTTCCGCTCTATAGACTTGAGGAGAGCAAATGGCAGGGAACAATCAAAGATGGGAATAAATTTTTAATGAAAAAAAAATGCCAAAATAGAATTTGGGGATGACTAAAATAAGAAATCAAAAAGGTCTGGATAGCATGTGAAGAATCAGTATTCTAAAATTCAAACTGCAAATAGGGAACATTATCAAAACAAGGAAGATTTTTTGGAGTTACGGTATACATTCTTCAAAGCGGCGCCGCACCTTCAATACTCGCCCCCATAAGTGCAACTTTTCAACTTCACGAAGGGGAATTTCGATAAAAAATTTTAGGTCCTCTAACCTTCAGAGATTTTTTCTCAGTTTGCTCATATTTGTCAAATAGTTTCAATTTTTGTAAGACCAGTCAATTTGCGCCGCCTATCGGCGGCTACAATCTTTCGGCTTGACTTAAAACGTTCGATATTTTCAGTTTTTCCACATACTGCTTTATTATTTTTGAACCATCAAGAAAAACGCTCCAAAGGATCTTGTATCTCTTGGATCTTCATATTACTCCTGGCTCTAGAGCAATAGCAGTTCTGTCATTGTGGAATCTCGTAGAATCCTCCAGCCCAGCTTGAACCCCCAGGACCCCGGGACCCAGAGACTCAGGCTTACTCAGGGACCCCGGGACCCAGGGACCCGGATCCAGGTCACCCGGAACCAGGTCACCCGGTCAGGGTCATCCGGATGCAGGTCACCCGAATCCAGGTCACCCGGATACAGGTCACCGGGATCCAGGTCACCCGGTCAGGGTCACCCGGATCACGTTCCCCGGTTCCAGGGTTACCAATTCGAGTAGTCGTTTTTGTCTAGAATTTCAAATTTCTTTCGAAGCATTTTTTGCCAAGCAGGATTCTTTTATAATTTTTTTTCATCACGTTTAAATAAACTGAAATTTTTACTTGTGAAATCTGTGAAACTCCTTAAAAAGATCGTTCCTTTGAACCTAAATATCTCGTTTCCTGTTTGAGATATTGAAACATTGTCAACTGATGAAATGTTTCTAATATCAAGACAAACATTTTCGTCTTTGAAATTTCTGAATAACTCTTGCAGGAACCGAGATATATTTGGCCAAAGTTGAGAAATTATGGTTGTCCGCGCCACCGTCGCTTCAAACAGCTGGCTGTTTGAAGCGGCCCGTTTTAATCATACTTGTGACGGGCCGGGCTTTTTTTCAAATTTCGGAGGCCCGGCCCGGCGGGCCCGTCATTTCACAAGTTTTTAAAATTTCCCGTATGTGATTTTTTTTTCTACCAAAAAAATTTTTTTTTCGAGTTTTTTCGATCTGTTTTGATCAAACAGACAAACAATCCAAAAAACAAAAAAAAATTGTTAAAAATTATATGAAGAGATCAAAATTTGGCTCAGAAATACAGGATTTTGGATACCGGGCCTACCGGGCCGGGTCCGGGCCTTGAAAATTTCTCCTTGGCGGGCCGGCCTGGAATTTTACAAGTACGGTTTCAGTCTATTTTTAATGGTTTGTCGCTCCGCTCCTCACTGTTCAATTTCTCTCCTCCCCTGTATATAAAATTCTGAATATCTGTTTATCTAACAAAGTACCAAATGTGAAAATTTTCAAAAAACTTTCCGATTTCTGAAAGACACCACTTTTTGTCTAATTTTTGTAAAGAAACGAGAAATTTTCTGAAAACATGAAAAACAGGTCAGGTGTCATTCAGAAATGGGAAAATAGCTGAAAAACTAAAATTTTTTTTAAAAAATTCGTTGAATGTAAACTTTTCAATCTAGGCCCGTATTTCACCATTCAAAATTTTCCAAGTGATCGAAAACATGACAAAAGACAACATATTTTATTGGACGGTACTGTATTTAAAATCCTAAACTTGTGATTTTTCAAGAATTCTAAAACATCTTGTATTTTGATATTTTGATGTTTCAAAATGCTCAAATTTGGAAATTCTGAATCTCTGAAACTTGTAATTTCAAGTTCTTATCAAATATACCGATTTCTGTCGTGTGAAATTGTTCATTGAACCTAGCCAAAATCCTGGAGGAAAAATCCGTTTTTCAAAATATTCAAACCTCTCAAAAAATGAAAAATTCAAAAGTGCTCGGTTCACCATGGTGACACCTGACAACCGTTTGCAAACGTTCTCTTCGTTTTTTTCTCCCGAAACTTCCATTTTCCGATTAATTCGTCATTCGACATCCAACTATACGACGAATAGGCAATGCCTATTCGTCGAGAGAAAAGAAAGATTCACTCACCGATTTTTCATTTTCAACGTCTTCTTTTCGTTTTGACGAAACAAGTCTCTTTTTCATCCCGTTCTTGACCACCTATCCTTCTTTTCTTCCTCTCTATTTTTGCGACTGTTTATGCCTAGTTTGCCGATCGTCTTGTTCTCTTCGGTAACACATATTTTATCTATCCATCCTCAATAATATTGTTCTTCTTCTTCTGTTTCTCTCTTTCCGATTGAGTCGTTTGTTTTCGACCCCTTCCACGTGGAAGTAGTTTTTAGAAACCAGTCAACAATACGGACAAAATCTGTTTTGACCATTTTTGTTTTACTTTTCTTGAAGAAGTAATATCCTATTTTCAATTATCAAGATGATCATTAGAATGTTTTAATTTTCAAATCTTTGGGATTCTAAATTATATTTTTTTCCAAAAAAATTATTAAAATTTTTGTAGGTTAGATACCCCGCAAAACCTGTAATAGAAGGCCCCTTCAACTTTAAACGTTGAACCTATTTATCTCGATTTCTGTAAAAAAATCAAAAAATCAGGATTCTGGATAGAATTAAAGAATAGATAAGCCCTTGTTGAGAAAAATGAGCTTAGCAGTCAATCCAAATTTCAACTTAATTCTAAATTCAAGAGGATTTTCCAGACATTTTATTTCAGATTTCTGAATGCTTCAACATTTAAAAAGTATTTCATGATTTTAAAAAAAATATTAAAAGCCAAAGTACAGAAAGAGCAAAGATCCTGACAAAAAATTCAAATTCACATAAAAACTTCATTTTGTAAACAAAAGACTTTTTCAAAAAAATATTTTCGAAAACAAACTTTTAGGTTGAACTTGAACTTTCAGAATTCTAGAAAAATATCTAGAAAGTTTACAATTTGAGATAAAAACTCCAGAATTCAAATTTTCGCAAAACTTACAACATTTTATGTAAATTTAGAATATGATCTACTTTCAAAAATTAGGCCCGCCAATTTTTGAAATAGATCAAATCATATTTATGAACAAGGTCATTATTTTTTCACATTTTTCTTTTTCCCACTTCCGAAAACTGATTCTAACCCCAATTTCACACTTCAAAACCCCCACTTCAACCCTCCCCTTCCTCTCTTCCCGCAAACTTTATGGGTGACGTGGCACTCATTTCCCAGGGAAATGTTTGCGCGTGTGGTTCTGCGCATTGTGTGCATACACACCAAGGTCCGCAACATGTCCCCCCTAGGTTCCAACGAATTGGTGTGTCTCTGTTTGTTTTCCTGGATCCGTTTTGGCCTTTTCTTTTTTTCGATTTCTCTCATCCTACCGAAATTTTTCTCAGTTTGCACCACCGACAGTTTGTGTGCGTTGACTCAGATTTTTGGCAAAACTTTTTTTCAACTATTTTCTTTGTGTCTCTGGTCCCTCTTAATCCTTAAAAGTCCTTGACGGTGACGTCACTCGATGCACACGTGGAACTATTCTAAGAAAATCGATGGTTTTTTGCAGGGTCCTGAACCTGGATCATGTTGTGGAGGTATCCACTGATATTGGCAACTTTTTGTTGGCTGGGAACAGGTGTGTGGATCAGGTAGATCATTAAAAAAATTGAAGTAAGACAATTTCAGCAGCACAACAAAATGATCCGGAAAAGAAGTTGTCGAGTTTCGACGCATGTAAAGCAGATATTCATAAACATTGTAGTAGAGTGAGTTTTTTTAAAAAGTTAATTGATTAGTAGATGCACCATATCCTACTTTGGTGTAAAATCGTCAATTTTAGATGTCTTTAAAAAACATAGTAAATCTTCTGGGATGAGTCTGAAAATTTACAGATTTACTAAAAAAAAATATGAGCTTCATTTTTGTAGTTGACAATTTTCTTGGATCTTTTTTGGTTTTGGAGGCATGCGCCTTTAAAGATGGAAGCCACTACAGTGCAAAAGAGAAGGAGGCGGTTTTTTGAAGACGCACATCTCAAAAACCAAAAAAAATTACGAAAAAGTTGTCAACTACAAAATTAAAGCCCTAATTTGTTTAGTAGACTTGTAAATTTTCATATCAATCCAACAAAATCTATGATATTTTTCAGGCATCCAAAGTTCACAATTCTCAAGCTAGATTTTCATTTTTCAGATTTTCCAATAAAAAAAATTGTTACAAAATTATGATTTTAGGATTGATTCATACTCTGAAAGTTTTGAAAAATCACCTCAAAGTGAATTTTTTTTCAGCCCGATGTAGATCTTTCGAGCGACATGTCCATCCTGGAATGCCTTCAGGATGCTGGACTTTCCGAAACAGCCACACTATCCGAACAGTGTGAACAACTTGTTTGGGATTTTAAGGTAATTTTTTAAAGATCAAATTCGAACTGTTGAGATTCCAAAACAAAATAAAAATTTCTCAAACTTTCCAGGTAAAAATCACGCAAGACGAGCGTTTTGTGACAGCTGCCAAACAGTATTGTGAGGAAGAACTTAAATCCAATGTTGCGATGCAAACATGTACATCACAAACACAACCTGGATACGCGTTGAGTTGTTTGATCGAATTCACGAAGAATGTGACAGAGACTAGCAAGTGTCATGCTTTCTTGGGTGAGTTTTTTTACAGTAAAACATGTAAAGGGCCCGACACTGTCATGTTTGAGCTCAATTATCTCGGTTCTTGCCAAAGATATCAACACGTTGTCAACTGATGAATTGGCTATCATAACATTGTAAACCCTTTATCAGTTGACAGATTTGTGATACCTTGAATAGGAGCATAGATAAATTGGCTCAAACTTGACAGTTTGGGATAGTTCAAACATACTTGAGACAGTCTAATTCAAGACATTTCATTACTGGTTTGACGGTAGAATGGTACTTTTGAAATTCTTTGGGATATTCTAAAAATCAGAAATGTGCGAAAGAGATTTTGGAATATTCTGTATATTTAATATATATTTAATTTTTTTTTCCAAAATTTGTGAATTTTCCAAAACTTGGTTTGATTGCTTCCGAATCGTTCCTATCCAAATTTCACTTTGGGTCAACTTCAAAATTTAGTTCCAGTCAATGTTTCGTTTCGAAAATCTATATTTATTGAAATTTCGAAATTCCATTCCTGAAGATGTATCCCTTGAACATATCGTAAAATCTGTAATAGAAGGGACCACTGTCAGGTTTGGGCTAATTTTTCCTGGTTCCTATGCAAATTATAAAGATTATGTCAACAGATAAAATGTTGATGAGATTATGATGAAAAACTTATCAGTTGACAACTTTTTTATATCTTTGACAGGGATCGAGAAAAGTTGGCTCAAAGTTGAAAGTTAGAGGGCCCTTTATGGAAAAAATGTCATAATCCAATCCAATTTTCCAGCCCGCACCGAACGTCTCGCCTTCTCCGACTTCCGTCTCGTTGGTCCATTCGTCACCAAGTGCCGAGCAGTACTTGACCAATTCAAATGCAACGTTCTCACACCCGACCCAGCTCATAAAGGAGTCCGCGTAGCGCACACCCAAGGAATGGCTCTCGAGTGTATTCTGGATAAAGTTGTCAAGAATGCAAAGACCCAAGCAGATGCGTTGGCGATTCTTGGTGACGAGTGTAAGCATGAAGTGTTGAGACTGGCTGAAATGCAAGCTGACGATTTCCATCTGGACCGCCCGTTGTTCTTCGCGTGTCGGTTGGATCGAGAGAGATACTGTAAGGATGTGCCATCGGGACAAGGAAAAGTGTTCGAGTGTCTTATGATGAATAGAAACGACAAATTTATGGATACGGAGGTTTGTTGTTTATACAGCGGGCGTAGGCTGATTTAAATTCAATTTTTTTCAGTGCGGAAATCTTCTCGCCGAGAGAGCATACCTCATGGGACGAGACTACCGTATGGCGCATCCACTCACCAAGGCTTGCCAGCCAGAATTGACGAGATACAAGTGTGAACCACAGAATCAGATTGAGGCCGCCGCTCATTTCCACCTCGCTTGGATTCTTCTCTGCTTGGAGAATGGAGCCAACCAACCAGAACACAAGGAACTCCCCCCATCCAAAGAGTGCTCTCATGAGATGATCACACATAGACAAATGATGATGCAACACTTCCGAATGGCTCCAGAATTGGTGCTCAATTGTGCTCAGGAGATTGACAAGTGGTGTAGTCCAACTGGAGATATTGAAGCCGAGGGAAGAACTCTTCATTGTTTGATGGAGCATGCTGAGTCTAGAAATGAAACGCAGAAACTTGGAGCACAATGTCTTCAAGCTGTTCAACAAGTTGTCAAAGTTGCGGATATTGGAAGAAACTACAAAGTTGACAAGGTTCTCTACGGATCCTGTAGAGCACTTATTGATGGACCATGTGCCCAGGATGCAGTCTCTGAGACTGCAACATTGACTTGTTTAATGAAAAATGTGGATAGCCCGGATATGGTTCCAGAATGTGAGAAGCGTCTTCTTGAAGTTCAATATTTCATGGCGAGAGACTGGACCTTGGACCCACAACTCTATGAAGCTTGTCACAAGGAAGCAGTAGAGAGATGTTCTGCTTTGGATAACTGGCATCAACAACATAACACTGATAAGGCTGTCGATCCAGGACCACAAGTTCTTGCCTGCCTCTACAGAACTGCCTACGATGAGGTTAGACCACTCTCTCAAGCCTGTGGAACCCAAGTCCGTCAACTTCTTCACGTCCGCGCGGTCCGTGTTAACTTGATCCCAGAAATCGAGGATGGATGTCGTGAGGCACTCTCAGAATTCTGTTCCCACAACGTGAAGCCTTCTGAGGAGATGATGTGTCTTCAGCAGAATTTCGAATCGGATCAATTCAAGAGAAAGTATCCAGTTTGCTTCCAACATCTCACCAAATTCACAGAGATGGAGGCAAAGGACACCAAATTGAATAGAGCGTTGACGAAGGCTTGTAAACCAGTTATCTCGACTCATTGTGCTCAATTTGCTCTGGAAGATATTGATCATGGAGATGTACTAGAGTGCCTTGTGAACAACAAGGATGCAAAGGAGATGACAACAAAGTGTAGATCATACGTCAACCATTTCGAGCTGATTTCTCTTCGCGACTACCATTTCAGCTATAAATTCCAGAAGGCGTGCGCTGCTGACATTGAACAGAATTGTAGAGATCACAACAACGATAAGGGAGAGATCATTCGATGCTTGTCAGAGGTACGATTCGAACACAAGGTTCTCGGATCGGCCAAGGATTTGACGGACGATTGCAAGAAACAACTCAAAGTGGCTTATCTTCAGCAAGAACAGGTAGAAGTAAGTTTTGTTCGGTTGTTGTTCCTGTCCCGGTGCTGTTGTGCATGAGAGAGTGGTTTTGGAAAAGTTTAGAGAACTTTAAAGATTAGTGTCTTTTGGATTTGGATTAGTGTCTTTTGGATGTTTTTGAGCTGTGATGAAAGGGCTATCAACTTTGAGATCAATTATGTTGGTGATATTATGACAAATAATTTGTCAGTTGACAAATTCTTGATATCTTTGACGGGAATTGAGATAAAAACAACAAGACCAACCAAATGACTCGATACATTGTCTATCAATGTCATAGTTCTAATATTTCATAGTTCTGAAGTGTCGCAAGTTTTCAAATTTCACAGTTCCCATATTTCATAGTTCTAATATGGCATATGCAGTTCTAAAATGTCGCAGTTCTGAAGTGACGCAGTTTTAAAACGTCACAGCTCGTCAATGTCGCAGTTCTCACTTGTCTTTGTCCTAAAATGTCACAGTTCTATTACGTCACAGTTCTAAAGTGTCACTGTTAGACAATGACATAGTTCCAAAATGTCATAGTTCTAAAATGCCATAGTTCTAAAATGTCGCAGTTCTGAAATGTCACACTTCTGAAATGTTATAGCTCTAAAATGTCGCAGTTTTAAAATGTCAGAGTTCTAAAATTTCAAAGTTCTGACGTGTCGCAGTTTTAATATTTCGTAGTTTTGAAATGCCATAGTTTTAAAACATCGCAGTTCTAAAATGTCGCAGTTCTGAAATGTCACCTTCACAATTTCCATGTTCCAAAACTTCAAATTTTAGAAAAAAAAATAACCAAATTTCCAAAACCACTTTTGGCATCCATTTCTAGCAGTAACTCCGTCCTTCGTTTGGTTTTGTTCTGTTTTTTGCCCCCTTCATTTTCCCCTACTACCCTGTGCTAACTTTTTTGACGACCAACCCTGTGTGTTAAACACGTTTTTTGCATGTTTGGGGGCTTAGAACGGGCGCCATGAAAGCAGTAAATCGTCTTGGAAACTATGGATTTTTTAGCATGCTCAAAAATTTCCGGATGAAACTATTTTCATGGCGCGCGCATAGATCCAATATATTCATATCGTCCTTACTAACCCATATCCAAATTTTCAGTTCGATGATAAGGAACACATGGCTGATGCGGACCCGAAACTATCCCAAAAGTGTGCTCGCGAAATCCAAATCTTCAACTGTAACAAGGCTGAGACGTTCGAAGAGACCGTGGAATGTCTTCGTTTGAATTTCGAACAACTTGGACCAGACTGCAAATCGATGATCTTCTACAGAGAGAAAATCGAGGCTGTTGACAATTCGATGGATGACGAGCTCCAGAAGAAGTGTAGATATGATATATCGAAATTCTGTGGAAACAGTGACTCGGAGAATGTTCTGGAATGTTTGACGAACACGAAAATTGTGAGATTACTTCAAAGAGAATGCAAGGCGGTGGTGAAGGAGAGAATGCAAGAGTCGGCGAGAGATGTGAGGTTGAGACCACAACTTTTGACTTCGTGTAGAAAGGAGGCTGAGACTTAGTGAGTTTCTTGTTTTAAATAGTTATGAGCAATAATCTTGAAATTTCCAGCTGCCCTGAGGACATGAAGAAGATCAATATGCCCCAATACTCCCAGACAGTTCTCGATGGCGTTGTCGTAGCTTGCCTTCGCGAGAAGTTCCGTCAATCTATCTCCGACCAAAATCACATTGAATTCTCTCCACGTTGCTCAGCAGAAGTCTCCAGAGCTATCGTTGAAGCAGAGTTCGATCCACAACTCGATCCACCACTCTACAACGCTTGCAAGTCAACTATCAACTCCCGTTGCTCAGCACAAATTTTGGAGTCTGGAGGACATTTCGACAATGTGATGGAGTGTTTGAAGGCGGATTTCAATAAGGGACTGATCAAGGATAATTCGTGTGCCGGACAAGTGGCCAGGCGGCTTCAGGAGTCGTTGGTGGATATTCATTTGGATCCAGTGCTGCATGAAGCGTGTGCGATGGATATTCAGAGGAATTGTAGAGATGTGCCGCCAGGACATAGTAGAAGTGAGTGTTTTGGATCCTTGAACTCAGTAAAAATTTTCAAAGCACTCTGGGAGTTTACCGTATTTTCTCTAATTTTGAGCTCAATTATCTCGATTCCCGTGAGAGATATCGAAATTGTGTCAACTGATAAAGGATCTTTGATATTATGATAAATCATTTATCAGTTGACAAACTTTAGATATCTTTTGAAAGAATCGAGATAATTGAGCTTGAGGGTTTAGGTGAGCTTCTATTAGAGTCATAAACTTCATAAACTCACGATTTTTGAATCATTGGAGTTTTGGAACTTAGGAATCTTCGAATTATAAGAATCTTAGAATCCAAAAAAATTTAATTTTTCAATCTGAAATTTCAGTCGTCATGTGCCTTATGGATTCTGCTGACAAACAACAACTCTCCAAAGAATGCTCGACAAAACTCAATGATCGAAACAAGCTGTGGATGAAGGCTCACTCAGAATTCCAGATGGCTCTTCCAGATTCGTGGCACGCCTTCGCCACGCTGGTCATGGAGCATCCGGAGAGAAACTCCATTCTTGGATATATTGCCGGATTTGTTGTATTCGTTCTTCTAGTCGGTTGCTGTTGCGGACGAGTTTCCAAGAAACAGTATATTGAGATGAAGAATCGTTAATTTAATTTTCTTTTTGATTTTTCCAAAATTGGCATTTCCATCTCCTAGAAACCTTACATGCATACTACCCCAAACCACTTTATTCCTGTGTAATAATAATTTATTCCTTTCGAAACAATCCGTATCTTCTTCTGAAATTCATAATTTGGTTGTGTTATTTTTTCTCTTTTCTCCGTTTTCCCTTCAAAATTTCTTCTTGAAACTTCGGGTGTTTTTGTTTCTCTTTTTTTTCTATTTCCCGTTCCAACTTTTTTGTGTTATAATGTTTCGGAGTCTGTTGAATAAACGATTTCCAGGGTTTTTGAAACTTTTTAAAATTGTTTTGTAGAAACACAGATTTTTCAGGCATCCAAAAAAATGAGATGGGGAAATTGTGCTGAAAATTAATCAAATTCCACTGGAAATTTTCTGAAAATTTTGCGTCTCAATGTCTCAAAAGTTGTAAAAATCAGAAAAAAGTCCCAAAAATTCAAAACACAATAAAAATTCGAAAAACTTTAAAAATCGCAGAAATCCCAAGAATCCTGAAAATTCTAAAAATCGTAACATTCTTATCGTAAAAATCCCAAAGGACCCAAATGTTCGGAATATACCAAAATGCTGAAATTTCTGAAAATCCAAACAATTCTAAAATTTCCTGAAAATTCTTCAAAATCCTAAAAATCTCAATAATCCTAAAAATTCTAACTATCCTGAAAAGCCAAACAAACATTTCAGAATTTTACGTCTTCTGATACCGAAGTCATCTAAAAAATGGTATTAAGATGGATACGGTTGAAGACGATGGGAAGTTCCAGATAAAGAAAAAATCTGAAAAATGAGGTGGATCCTCATCTTGCGGACATTGTCATTGTCGAATTCTAGATTTCCAGAATCAGAGTAAGTTTTCGGCATGTGCACTTTGAGCTCAATTATCTCAGTTCCTGTGAAAGATATTAAAAATCTGTCAACTGGTAAAATGTCGGTGATATTATGACTCACATTTTATCAGTTGACAAATTGTTTATTCCTTTTGAAGGAAACGAGATAATTTAGGTTAAAATGAACGTAGGGAGTGGTCTTCTATTAGAGCGAATACGGTAAGTCATCATTTCTGATGACTCACTTTTTCTGGGACCAGAGTTTCTAAATCTCTTTATCTCTCACCGAGTTATTATTATTCATCACCATTTCTTATTCTTATGTTAACACAATGTACATATGATTTCCCTGTCAATAGAGATGGTTCCCATGAATTAGTCGCTTGTTGCGGGGGCTTTCCTCACTCCTACACAGTTTTTTTATGTCGCATAAATTTTGCAAGAGTTTTATTATATAAGGAACACAAAGCGACACAGTTTATTACATAATCGTTAGCCCTGATTTTCAGGAAAAATCTTGAATTGTCTTCTGACTTCTGAAAATCTTCTGCTTCTGAAAATGAAACGTTCATCTCGAAGGATTCCTCGAGATGGGAAGGATGGAAAGGACGGAATCGAACTAAAGAATTTGAAAAAGACAGCCAAGGAGAAGGATACTGTAAGTGACTTATTGAAAAGTTTATTGTTGCTTAGAACTATGTTTTTTCCTGAATGCGACAGAAAAAAATGGTCAAAAAATCGTTAGAAATTTTTTGAGCAACGCCCCATCAAACCCATTTTTCAATTTAAATTTTTCTGACAGTTGTTGCAAGTGTTGATGTAAATTGGATCAAAGTTGGGGATCTGTAAATCACATCAACCAATATCAAAAAATTTCCAGGACATCAAATTGCTGACTACCTCTTCTGATTCTGATTCACCCACCCCTTGCCAACTCTCCACGTTTCAAGTTATTCTGAACTTCATCACTTTTAGATGTTTCCAGAATAAGGAGACGCTTGAAGATGAGCCCATTGGATTTTTTGAACTAGTTTGGTCCCTCACCCATTTTTATATTTACTATTGATTCTTTTTAGTTCCGGTACATGAAACCCATGCAACTCTTTTGCCTCATTGCTGGGTTTATCCTTGCCGCTGTATCCGGATTCTTCCATTGTTCATATGGTTACCTGAATGGAAAGCTCACCACTATGTTTGTGAATCCTAACACCACCGATTTGGAGTTCTACGAAGATGCCATGCCCTATGGTTTGGCTTTTGGCATCGCTGGTGCCTTTAATTTTGGGTTGACGACGTTGCATGTAAGTCTGAAACCAAATTTTTGTTAATCAAAAAGTTTCTTGCAGTCTTATCTGATCCAGACAGCAATTTTTCGAATGACACAATCCTTGGAGCATCTCTTCCCGACGTCCGTTCTTCGTCAAGAATCCGAATGGCACGATAGACACAGTGCAGGAACGTTGAAGACAAAGTTCAATGAGTAAGATTTCGAATATATTGAGAAAAAAAACCAACAGATTTTTAGAAACATGGGTATAATCAAGAGCAAACTTCCACAAATCAGCTTGTTGTTTTACAATTTCTCTGTCTATGCTTCCGGCGTCGGAGTTTCCTTCCACGTGTCTTGGAAACTAGCACTGCTTTCGATGCTCTCTCTTCCGATCATTATGTGTGCAAGAGCAATTTTGGCTAATGTAGGTTGTTTTAAACTTTTCAAAAAAAAAACCATGAGGCTTCCAGAAAAACAAAACGTACGAAGAGAAAAAGGAAAAGATCAGCGAGAAGGCAGCAGAAGTTGTCAGCGAAGCTCTGAACAGTGTTCGGACTGTTCAAGCCTTCAACGGACAGGAAGAAATCATTGAAAAATACGGAAACGCCTTCGAGAAATCTGCAACGTACTCTATCAAACAGGCCCTATGGGACGATGTGGTATGGAGTAATTGTGACTTGATGCTACTCACCATTTTTGGTGTTGCAATAAATTTTGGTGTCACACTTTATTGCAATAAGGAAATATTGGAAGTGGGGATGATCTTCACCGTCTTATTCGTTTGCCTCACCAGTTCTGCTATTGCCGGTACCTCCGCCCAGATTTTTAATGATGTCTTGAACGCAAGAGTAGCGGCTAGGCAAATTTATCGAGTCATTGAGAGGGTAGGTCTTGTTGTTTCAGAGTTGCAATGAATTCAAAAATTCTCAGGTCCCCAAAATCGACGCCATGTCAGCTGAAGGCCAAAAGCTACTGAATGTTTCTGGAAGAGTCGAATTTAGAAATGTCCATTTCCGTTACTCGACTAGAAGGGATGCAAAGATCTTGGATGGATTCAACTTGTGTGTGGAACCTGGAACTTCTGTGGCTCTTGTCGGACACTCGGGAAGTGGAAAATCAACTGCTTTCAAGCTTTTGACGAGACTCTATGAGCAAGAAGACGGACAAATTTTTATCGATGGACATGATATCAAATCTCTGAACATTGGATGGCTGAGAAAAAAAGTTGGTGTTGTTCAACAGGAGCCAACTGTTTTCAAGGACACAATTAGAGAGAATCTCTTGAAAGGAAATCCAACGGCTACGGAAGAAGAGATGATTCAAGCAGCCCAAATGGCAAATGCGCATGACTTCATGAAACTGTCCGAAGGATATAATACGATCATTGGAGATGGTGGAATTCAACTTTCGGGAGGTCAGAAACAACGAGTTGCCATTGCTAGAACTTTGATAAGGAATCCCAAGATTCTACTACTGGATGAAGCCACCTCTGCTCTGGATGCTCACAGCGAGAATCTTGTTCAGGATGCATTGAACAACGCAAGGAAAGGAAGAACCACAATAATGATTGCTCATCGCTTATCGACAATTCGTGGAGCAGACAAAATTGTGTATGTGGAAGACGGGAAGGTGGCGGAATATGGAACCCATGAGGAACTGATTTCTTTACGACTACGGTATGCAATGATGGTCGATGCTCAGAAGTTTGACGACGATCAGGAACGGGTTGAAGTGGATAATGAAGATGAACATTCTCTACAAGGATCAATTCAAGACTCAAACGGCGACTCCGAACTTCCATCCACATCCGACCAACAAGCATCTCTCCCTCACATCACCTCAACTCAAAAAGACAGCTCCACGACTTACGGACTGCTGGATGTCTTCGGAAACTCTTCTGGAAACTACAATTACATGTTGCTTGCCACTATCTTTGCTATTCTGAGAAGTCTCGAGCAACTCTTCTGGTCACTTCTGCTCAATTGGGTGTACGACGCCTTCAAAAAACCACCAGCCGAGATGAAGGATGAACTTTGGAAGAGCATTTTACTTTTCCCAGCCCGTCAGCTCTACAAAATGATAACAAATGTTTTAGTGGTAAGAGAATAAGTGAAATCTTAAATTTACATGAGAGTTTCAGAGCTACTTAGCCAGCAAAACATCCGAGAACATAATTCGAAGACTTCGGATTCAATGCTTGAAAAGTCTGCTTAATCAAGACGGAGAGTTTTTCCACGACCCAGAGAACACACCGGCGAAGATGGAAAAGGCTTTGTCGACATACGTCAAGGACATCAAACCAATGGTGGATGCCAATGTCTATAATGCGATTTCCACCGTCTTCAGTATAATGTTCAATCTGGGCTTGGCGATTTCATGCTGCTGGCAAGTCGGTGCAGTGGGAGCAGGAGTGATCATGGTCAGCGGATTTCTTATCAGATTGCTAACCAAGAAACTTGCTGAGATTGACAAGCGGAAGAAGAAAGAGGAGAAGTCGCCGAAGGTACTGTAAATGCTGCATAAGATGATATATTTTTTATATTCAGATTGTTGCGGAAATGATAGAAAATTCGAGAACCATCCAACTTCTGACATGCTCCCAGAGATTGTTGGACAGTTACAAGGAAGCTCAGGCCGCCGAAGCAGCAATCGGATTGGAGAGCATTTTCTATAAGGCCATAAATGATGGCTTTGGAAAATCGCATAGCTACTTCTCAATTTTTGCATGCTACTTTGCGGGAATCATTTTCGTCAAAAATGGGCTGGTTATCAGAGACGATGCGTATCGGTAAGTAGCTTTAAAAATCGAATCGAATAATTCACTTAAAATGAAATGGGATCTACTCTAGCACTACTCTAGAAAACATTACTGACCCGTAACCTATTTTCCTTTCTTTCCAGAGCTATCCAACCATTATATATGAGCGCTCACGGAGTCGTGACGTTCATCAACTTGATTCCAAAATTTTCCGAAGGTACAAGCGCAGCCGACCTCATCTTCAAGCTCATCTACCGCAAACCAGCCACTGGCGATATTATGGATGGATTGAAGCCAGAGATTCAAGGGAACATCTCTTTGAAATCCGTGAAACTCACTTACTCTCGACGACCAGATCATCCAGTTTTGACGAAGCTCACTTTCTCGGCACGTAGCGGACAAACAATAGCCTTAGTTGGGCCATCTGGCGCAGGAAAGAGCACCTGCATATCAATTCTAGAAAGGTTTTACGACGTATGTGAAGGTGCTATTGAGATTGATGGACAGGATATCCGATCACTATCACTCTATTGCCTGAGAACCCAAATGGCATTGGTCGGACAGGAACCCACACTTTTTAGCGGAACCATCAAAGAGAATGTGTGTTTTGGATTGAATGACGTAAGTGTGACAACACCTGTTTTTATTACCTTTTGACCAATTTTAGATCCCTATCGAGAAGGTCATGGAGGCTCTGGAACTAGCTAATGCTCTAAACTTTGTGACCAATCTCCCAGCTGGACTCCATACTGAGGTTGGAGAAAAGGGATCAATGTTGTCAGGAGGACAGAAACAAAGGATCGCCATCGCCAGAGCATTAGTTAGAAACCCGAAGATTCTGTTATTGGATGAGGCAACGTCGGCGTTGGATTCCCAAGCGGAGAAGGTAGGAATCATCAATTTTATAAAACTGTAATGTTCTAATTGTCTGTTTTTCAGGCTGTCCAAGAAGCTCTGGATCGTGCTCGCCAGGGACGCACATGTATAACCATTGCTCACCGGTTGTCCTCAATTCAAAACTCGGATGTCATCGTGTACATTGATCACGGAATGGTTCTGGAATCTGGGAGCCACAAGAAGCTGATGGCTCAAAAAGAAAAATATTATGAGATGATACAAAAACAAAAATTGATTGGTTAATTTTGGATGTTGAAATTTTGGATTTTGAAAGCTTTAATAAAACTGGAAAAACTCAATTTTTCCGGAATTTTTCTTTGAAGGATTGTGGTAAACTTTGGAGTTTTGGGGAAGCCCCATACAAAAATTGAAACTTCAAGTCAGAAGTTTTAGAAATGAGTCTATGAGGCCGTGAGGCTCATGCGGAACTTGAAGGCGCACTACTACGAAAGCCAGCCACCAGTCGATCAAGTTTTCTCTCCAGAACCCATCAAGTTTCTTGCGTATTTTGAGGGACGATTTCCGAAAGTAAGTTTTCAAAACTTTCGGATCAATCCTCTGAATTTTCAGCTCCTGACACATGTCTTCAAAGCTACTCAACATCTAGGACATGTGCCAGGATTCAGAAAATTCTTTCCCGGATAGATTTCCCTGCACACTTCGGCAAATCGACCACCTTCGGGACGTCATTCAAACATCATCCACTCGATGTACTCAGAAGTTCAGGGCAACTGAATTTGTGTTGCCCTCGAGCTGTTCGAGGTAACCTTTTCGACTTCATCAAGACGAAAGATCTCTTGGACAAAATCAAACTCACAGTGGAAGATGTTTTGGATGGGGTATCACAAGGCTTGGCTGAGCTTCAACACTGCCAAACCACTCTCGGCAACTTGAAGACCAGCAATATTTTGCTTTCGAGAGGTAATCGAAATGCGAAAGCTGTAGTGTCGGATTTAGGCCACTCGGTGAAGCAGCCGAGCCAAATTAGCGAGCCATATGATAAGGATCTCGAGATGTTTGCCAAAGTCGTTCAGTTCTGTCTTATGGATGCTGGAAAAACAGGTCAGAATTGGGACGAGTACATCAAGACAGTTGTGAAAGTGGTAAAGAAGGAATCATTTATCTCCACTTTCTAGCGGAACATCTCATCGCTCGATTACCGGATCCAGGCATTCTCAAGATTCCAGCCAGATTTATCAATCGTCATCCATACTTTTGGAGCGACGACTTAAAACTGGACTACATCCAAGCCGTCTCGGAGAAGTTCAAAAAACTGAACTTCTTCAAAGATCCAGAGCGTATTCTAATTGAAATGGATTCGAAGCACGTGATTCAGGCAGACTTCCATGCAAAAATGCGCCCTGCCATCACCCCAGTAGCAGCTACTTGCTACAGAAAAGATGTCGTGAGGCTCATTCGCAAACTTGAAGGCGCACTAGTAGTAGCTACTACGAATGCTTGCAACAAGTCCGTCAGGTAACCTCTCCAGAACCCAGCAAGTTTCTGAAGTACTTTGAGGGTCGATTTCCAAAAGTAAGGTTCCTAGATTTTTGAAAATGGTAATAATCTCGATTTTCAGCTCTTGACACATGTCTTCAAAGCTACCTAACATCTGGGACATGAGTCAGGATTCGGAAAATTCTATCTCGGAGAGATTTCCTTGCACACTTCGGTCCAAGCTCAATATTGGGCCTGGGCTCAGAGGAAACCCTTTATTTTTCCATGCTGACTAGATCATAGAGATGAGCCAGAGGGATTCATTGGGAGCAAGAAGGCACATTTCTAGAAAAAAGAAATGAGAAAAAAGTTCGAATCTTTCTCTCCTAGTTTCAGGTATGTATCCTCTGTTTTTTTGGCAAATATATATTTATTTTTTCGCATGTATTCATGTTGTGTGTAATTAGTCTGAACTTTTCAAAATCAAAGAAATTGTTAGTTTCCATGGGCTGGATTGAAAAACAGGCACCGTAAATACACTATCAGAATGATTCCCAATCCGTTAACTTTAAACCCATATATCTCTTGTCAAAAATGTAAAAACGTTTTTAACTGATAAATTGTTAATCACAATATCATAAACAATTCATCAGTTGACAACTTTTTGATACCATTCACCTGAAAGGAGATATACGGGCTCAAAGTTGACGCTTCGGGAAGAGGCCATTCTATCAGAGGGAGCGGTATTTGAGGTTATAACTCGTTGAACATTGTAATTGTTGAAAAAACTGAAACTGAAAGAAATTTCGACTATTTATTTACAAAATTGCTAACTGATAACACAAAAAGTGCCAGAAATCTTTCAACACACATCTCTATCACTCCAGATTTTTAAAACTGCTCATTATCTGAACTGGTGTTTTCTTTTCCTATCAGGTAGCATGATACACAGATATGACGTATCATTTGCTGTCAGACATAGTTAACCATTTTTGAATATAATCTAATTTTTCTCCTCCTACACATTTTGTTCTATTTTTTCCGTCGAAAAATTTACTGATTCTTATTTTTGTTTCCAGAGTCAAAATGTTCTAACCCTTTTGGTCATTTTCACGGAATTCGCTCTGATTGGTTTTGGAAAAATTATAAAAATTTTTTTGTTTGAATTTGTAAATACAAAGAAATTTGTATTATGTTCTTCCGCGTTTTTTTGTTCAACCAGTAAACAAGATATTTTTACGAAATGTTCTGGTTTCGAACTGAAAGTATACTGTAGTTTTTCTCATTCCTCGATATTCTGGGATTTGAGGATTCTGAGATTCCAAAAATTCTCCAATTCTGCTGAATTACATTTCCTGATCATTTTCATTGTTTTCCTATTACTTGATTCCATGACTAATATCCCAAAAATTGGTATTTTGCATATGTCGCTGTTCACACATCACACATTGTTCCCTGCTCATTATTTCCCAACTCTCCCCAAAATAACCAATTTCTCTGATTCATTTGAAAATTTCCAATCCCTTGAGATCCTTGCACTTTTAAAATTTTATCACCTTTACAAAAATTTTTATGAACTTTTAGTTTTGAATTTTGTTTTCGATTCGCTTTTCATGTTTCTTGTTTGGACTCAAAATGACATTTTACAAATCACAATCTCTATAATTATCAGTTCCCAACCAGCTCAGCCTTATCACTCTTCCCCATAGAAAAATGACAACAATAACGCCTCTGTTGAATTTCTCCGATTTTCCAACTCCTTCAACCTTCTCCAATTCCAGCGTTGCCATGGCAATTGTCAGTTCAGAAAATCGAACATGTGCAGATGAGAAGCTTCTGGCTCTTTATCAGTCATGGTCCTACATTGCTAGTATTGTATTTAACTGTTTGGTTCCAACGATTTCAACGTATTTTTTGGGGCGAGCCATTTTTCAATTGTGTAATCAAGCGACGATACAGTATTCTACCAGAATTCTATTGATAGCTACTATTCTGTTTGCTGCGTGCCATCAGGTTTCCTACTTTGCCTTTAAGGTTGGTTTGTTTTTTTTTTCATTTAGAAGGAAGTCAGTGTGCTCGATCTCAGAAGTCAGGAACAACTGGAACAATTCGGAATCATAAAATCTAAGACATTGAAAAATTTTCTTAGTTCCGGACGGTTTGAGGCTACTCACTTAAAAAACCTGTAATAGAAGGGCTTCCAAGCGTTTCCTGTGGGAGACATTAAAAAGTGATCAGCTAACAAAATAATAATTGAATTATCGAAAATATTATATCAGCTGACCACTTTTTGATATTTTTTTCATTTCGCCCTTCTGTGTTCTGGGCTTACATGCAATTGTAAAGTTTTTAACTTCCTCCCTGCTCTGGTTAGCTTGATTTATACTGACATCATTTTTAGTGGATCGAAGCCTATAATTAGTCATCAAGTGGTGATTTTCGAATTTGGTTTGAATGAACACGAGTGATTAGTTCCAGCGGATAGTAAAATACCGGGTATAAAACAGAACCCATATCAAGTCAGAACGCCTCCAGGTATTTACAGTACCGGCCCAAAATTTACAATTTTACCTATTTTCCGTTGAAAATGACCACTTGGGGATGTCAATAAATTGTAGTAGATTTTGTTGCATAAGCCTGAAAGTTTGCAGTTTGACTAAACAAAAATAGAGCTTCAACTTTGTAGTTGACAACTTTGTTTTGTAAAGTTATCCTAAAGAGAAACCGTTTGAAACCAACCAGAAGAAAAAGTTTTCAGAAATAGAATGGACATCAGAGTCGTGACATTTTCTAGCAGTTTATCTGATTTGGGTGAATTTCTACAAAAAGTTGTCAACTACAAAATCGAAGCTTTGTTTCTGTTTAGTAGGCCTACAAACTTCTAGGCAAGGTCACTAAAATCCACTGTTTTTTTAGACATCCAAAGTAGACTATTTGTTAAAGGTGGGGGGACAGGAGATTTTTCGTAGTTTTTTTGTAGCTAGAGTATGCATTCTACCGTCACGGTGTACAACGCTTAATGTCACTCTGCGTACAGCTGTCGTCCTCGCCTTTATGTATGCAAACGGGCGTGCGCTTTCTCCTTGCCCGCGTGGCTCAGTCGGTAGCGGCGCCGCACCCTCAATCATCGCCCTCACAAGTTCAACTCCTCGAGGGGCATCTTTGAACGGAATTTCGAGAACATTATTTTTTTCATGTCCCCCCACCTTTAAAAAATTAGGGAAATCGAATATCGAGTTGATGAATTGTTGCCGGGTACTGTAGTTGAAAATCATACGACAAATCGGAATAGCTTAACTGAAATTGCCGCTTTTAATTTGTTCGGCTGCCACCGTAGATAGCAGGGCGGCACCTCCAACGTTGAACCCACAAGTTTAACTCCATATCTTTCAATTTTCCAGATCGATCTTCTCCACACAATGTTTTTCAAACTCGATCAACCCTGCTTCCTTCAACGATCCTCCTACGACTGCCGATTCATTTCAATTGCTCAGACTACAGGAGTCGTTGGAATGGCATTGACAGGATTGGCCATGTCAACAGATAGAGCATTGGCACTTACGTTTCCAGCAGATTATCACAAACTGAAATCCGTGCCAAGAGTTGTTTTATCAGTTTTTGTGGTAACTATGATTTGATAGTAGTATTTTCTGAAGTACCAAGATTTTCCAGTTCATCGTAAGCTTCTCTACTTGGTTCCTTCTAACTATGAACGATCCATTAACCGGATACCTAAATCATTGTGGATTCTATCCATCCTACTCAGTTGCCAACTTTCAATTGATGCTTGATGTGATTCTATACTTGGCAATTTTCAATTTGATTTGGGATGTTATTCTGTTTTATTATGCAAGGCAACAAATTTTGTGGAGGTGAGAGACAACTGGAAAAAGGTCGAAAGCATTTAAAAAAATTTTAAAGTTTGTTTAGGAAACCAAAACTCAAATTTCAAAGCTATTGAAAAATCAGAGAACCTTAACTTTTGATTTCCAGACGTTCCTATCAATTCCAGAAGCGATACGAAGCTCGAATCTCATTGAACTGCACCCAAGCGGTTTTTGTGATCTCTATATGTCAATGTATATCGAATGGAGCAAATTCTGGTCTTATGAGATTGCTCATGATGATTGGAACAAGTATCACATCAGTCACTTATAGCTCTTTGCTTTCACTTTTCTATGTAAGCTTAGATGTTTATTAATGGAGCGAATTTACAATTTTTTTCCAGACTGCTCCATATTCTTGTATTCTACTTCCGATTCTGATGATGAGAATTTCGGAATATATCAGAGAGCAGAGAACGATTGGGATACTGTCACTGAGAAGTGAGAAACCGGGATTGGAGGAGCACCATCAGAGAATGAGAGCTGCGTGGAGCTAGATTAACTACTGATTTATATAATTTTATATTAATAAAAATTAAAAAGTTCAGTAATTCAGGATCCCTAATTAGCCACCATAGAGATAAGCCTATTTTTCCTCCCGGAATCGGAGTTCTCCAGAATCTTCTCAAAAAATTGGAATTCTTCAGAATGTCTCAAGTTTCCAAAATTTTCGAATTTTTCCGAATTTTCGATCATTTCAGAATCTCAGAATTTTCTAGAATTTTCTGAAATTTCAGAATTTCAGAATCTCAGAATCTCAGAATCTCAGAATCTCATAATCTCAGAATCTCAGAATCTCAGAATCTCAGAATCTCAGAATCTCAGAATCTCAGAATCTCAGAATCTCAGAATCTCAGAATCTCAGAATCTCAGAATCTCAGAATCTCAGAATCTCAGAATCTCAGAATCTCAGAATCTCAGAATCTCAGAATCTCAGAATCTCAGAATCTCAGAATCTCAGAATCTCAGAATCTCAGAATCTCAGAATCTCAGAATCTCAGAATCTCAGAATCTCAGAATCTCAGAATCTCAGAATCTCAGAATCTCAGAATCTCAGAATCTCAGAATCTCAGAATCTCAGAATCTCAGAATCTCAGAATCTCAGAATCTCAGAATCTCAGAATCTCAGAATCTCAGAATCTTAAAATCTCAGAATCTCAGGATCTCAGAACCTCAGAATCTCAGAATCTCAGATTCTCAGAATCCAGGGCCTCGGAATTCTTCAGATACTTCCCTAAAAGTTCTGAAAGTTTCTCAAAAATCAAAAAACCAGACATTTGAAGCTTTTTACAAATGATTCATCTTTCTCATCTATTGAATACTATCAAAGTTAAAATCATTAAAATATGTTAAAAAATACAAAAAAAAAGAAGGTACGCACGCAAATTGTTTGGAAAAAATGGAGCAAAAAGAACATGGGTGGAGCAAAAAAAAAGTGAATCGTAATGAGTCGAGATGCAATTTTAAAAAGTGAAAGGAAATTTTGAAAGAAAACTGAGCAATGGGTAGTGTTTCAGAGAATGAGAATGCAGGAAGGAAATGATTAAAAATATGAAAAAAAAAACATTTTAGAGAAACCGAGGAAAAATGGTAAAGGAGGGGAGGCAAAGCTTAGAGATTTAGGAAGGAAGTAGACTAGCAAAAAATTTGAGAAATATTTATCATGAAGTTGGAACGTTACTGTAGATTTTGAATTTCACCGAAGACTTTTCTGAAAAAAAAGGTAATTAGTATAGAAAAAATTGAATTTAATTGGCGGGGGAAAAGCGGGTGAATAGCTGGCGAATAGATGGCAAATACCGGGCGAATACCGGGCGAAAGCGGGCGATTGGTGGCCACCTAGCGTATGTCTATTTATCTGGATGTCCCGATGTCCTCATTCACTTTGACCCACAGTTTTGTAACATGTTTGCCCAATTACCTAACCGTCGTCTTCCTGTGACATTTTTCCGTATGTGTATATGTCATTTTTGGGCATGTGTGTATAACTATGAAGGAATGACCTAACCAAACATCGAATGGTCATTTTTCGACTGATAATACACATTAGAGTTGGTAAGATGATAGTGTTAATGCGCTAAAAATTTGGATAAGTTTGGTTAAGAGAAGTCAAGGAGAGAGAAGAGAGAGCAGAGAGAAATGGCACGTGGCAGAATCCAGAAATGTTGAAACTTTGAGCTTATAGCATGTTTAAGGTTCTCAATAATAAATGTTTAGGGTAAGACACATTTTTCAAAAAAAAAAAAGTCTAAAAATTTAAAACCCAATTAAAACTTTTTAGATATCGGGGATTAGGAAAATCTGAGGATTTAGAAAAATGAAGAATTTCAAGATAGAATTCTGAGGTTCTGAAGAACATTGGAATTCGGACGAATTTTAGGATTTTGGAGATCTTTGAGATTCTGGGTTTTTTAGAGATTCTGGATATTTTTTTGGATTCTGAAGAACTTTGAAATTTTGAAGAATATTAAGATTCTGACAGTTTTCGAAATTCTGCTTTTTCAAGAATCCTTGATTCCTCAAACCCCTCAATTTTCAAAAATACGGAAATCAACCCCCTCAAATTCCAAAACTGCGGAAATCTCACAAATCTTAATTTTTCAAAAAAAAACTGAAACTTTAAGAATCCTCGAACCCCTAATTACCGTGAAACCTCTAATAGAAGCCCCCCCCCCCCGGGGGGGGTCAAGTTCAAGCGCAATTATCTCGATTCTAATGCAAGATATCATAATTTTGTTAACAGAACAAATATTGGTGATAGAATGATAAACAATTTATCAGTTGACAACGTTTTCATATTTTTGACAGGAACCAAAAAAAATTGGCTCAAAGTTAGGGCAGGTTTTACGGTAATTCTAAAAATCTCGAGAATTCTGAAATCATATTAACATGGCTTGGTCTAAAATTCAGGACTTCAAAACTTCTAGATTCCATATTCTTACGATTTTTTAAATCGCTCAAAATCTTAGCTTCATTCAAACCATCCATCTTATATATCACACCAAAAACTACACATAAAACAACACATGTTTGTTCGTCTGTTCTTCCCCATTCTCCTCTTCCCATTATCTTCCTCTCCGGTCACAAAAACATAAAAACCACATAAAAAGCGAATGCGTTCAATGCTTCAGAAGACACCGAACACTCATTCTGCCGCAAGTTACGTCATTCCGAAAAGAAAGAGAGGCTCTTCAATCAACGAAGGCTTGTGCAATCAGAAGAAGACGTTCTATCATGCATTCACTCATTCCCCTCTCTCTCTCTCTGTTATTCTTTGTGTACCGCCCATGGACAAAAGAGGAAGAGAGAGAAAGGCAAAAGGAAGACAAAGATTGATGGAAGGTCATGTGCATGTGTGGAGAAGTAGTTAAATAGTTATACGGTAACTTGATCCTCGGAATTTACGAGGTTGGTGGAGGGTGTCACTCAAAAAGCATGGTGGTTGGCGCAGATTCTAATCGCCGTCGCTTTGCGCCATCGTAAATCTCCCTCGGGGTATCTGGTCACACCATCGCCAAAGTTTTTCACCCTTGAGACATACTGTAGAAAGGGTCTAGGCGCCAATGTGAAATGAAGAATGGCGAGTGTGGGGAAATGAAGTTTTTGGCGAAAGGTGTTGAGACAGAAATCGAAAATTCTCAAAAATCGGAATCCTAGAAATAATGAAACATAAAAGAATGCCAATCTGAAATCTTTATCTTAAATTTAGCAATTTTACACTAGCTATGTAAATGTTAAAACTTCACCGAAAAACACGATACCGTAAATGCTCCAATAGCAGTCCACCCTATACGCGCCCTTTGAGCTTAACCATCTCGGTTCCTTTAAAAGATATGAAAAAGTTGTCAACTGATAAATTGGTTATCATGAGTTCTCTAATATTTTACTGGTTGACATATTTTTGATGTCACTCGTAGGAGCTGAGATAATTGAGCTCAAAGTGTACATATAGGTTGGTCTATTAGAGCAATTTTTGATTTTAGTATGAATTTCTGAGTCTAGAGGTCTTGAAAATTTTGGTCAAATACTTATGATTGTTAATAATATCCTATCTAATGGTCTAAAAAGGTTACTGTACTGTACCCAGAATCTCGAATCTTCCACGTGACACATCTACCGTAAACACTACAATACTGCCACCGAAACAGTCAAGTTTGAACCCATATATCTCAGTCCATGTAAAAGATATCAAATACATGTCAAAGGATAAAATGTTTATTATAACATCAACAACATTTAATCAGTTAACAAATGCACCACCCCATTCCAGGCTCTCCAAAAAACGGCAGGTGGTGATCAATCAAAAAAAAGCCCCCACAACGTCGCTAAATCAAACAGTCCATATAAAATATTCGTATTACACACAGTTAATTGTAATTACGGTTCCTGTTAGAAGAATCAAACAATTATCAACTGATAAGTTAATTATCATGATTTCTCCAATCTTTTATCAGTTGATCAATTTTTTGTATCTCTTATAGAGCCCGAGATAATTGAGCTCAAAGTTAGGCAGTTTTCCGATAGCCATTCCGTGAAGAGAGATGGTTCAGATCAAAGATATTTCAGGGCAATGCCATTTCAAAAAACCCCAAATTCTTCCTATGAGATCAAGAACAGCTGGTCCCAAATCTCAGATTCTAATAAATCCAATTTTTGACAGCCACTACACCCAAAAAATCCGCGAATCTGATGCTCTAGAAGCAGCTTACGCCACCGGTTGCGTTGGGTGTGAAAAGATGCACATCTCCTCCATCATTTTCGTCTCTCTAACCACCCCACATTACAAAATGGTCCCCACCCTACTATACGGGGCATAAATTGCGCAAGCTTCTCCTGTTGCGCAATAATACCTTCTGTCCTTCTGTTCTCGCGCATACACAGATGACGTCATTCAGAATAGAGGGGCCACTTACTTGGTACGTCTCTGTTGTTGCTCATCCTTCTTGACAACCACATGGAATGCTGAGGATTTGGTGTTGTGGTCGAAAAAGTTGTTGTTGTTTGTGTTTTGCATATTTTTGAAACTCTTCGATTCTCCCAAAATATTTGACATCAGGTGCTTTGGTGGTTGTGGTGGTGGGATCGGATTATTCTCAAATAATTCCGGACGGAAAGTCATTTGTGACACCAATGGTCTGATTGTAGATTGAGTGGGGTTGTAATCCGGGAAGTTGAATTTAGGACGAGTGTTTGGAAGGTTTGGAAGCTGGGTAGGCGGAAAAACCAATGGAGGAAGCTTTCCTAGTCCAGAGAGATTCAGCGGAGCCATTGGAAGTGGTGGAGGGGCTGATCCAACCATTGGAGACGAGATTGGAGCTGTCATCGGAGCCATCGGAGTATTCACTCGTTGCATTAGTGATCTAAAACTTATATTTTTGTTTTTGTTTGTTTAGAAAAGCTCTCAAATTCTAATAACTCACCTTGAAAGTTGAGCAAGGTCCTCTTGCATCTTCTGAGCAGCTGCCAACTCTGCGAACATAAACAATCGATTCTCATCGGCCATTGGAGACACCGGCACTGTCATTGGAGACATTTCTGACTTGATCTTTGCAATCTTCGGTGAGTTTCCAATTGGTTTTGATAGATTTTGCTCCGAAAGAGTTCGCTTTCCAAATCCTGCGATTTGCTGAACCATTTTATCAGTTTGTGCCTTGATCACAGGAGTTTGTGGAACATTTTGTGGACTGCTCAAAAGTCGTTCGACGGATTGGAAGACGTCAAAACTGGCATGCTCATCTGGTTCCGGACCACAATAGACGAAAAGTGGGATTTTCTTGGTTCCAAAAAGGTAGTGCACTTTTTTGATAAGTCCAAGAGCCACTAGGACGTTGGCAATGTCGTAGAGTCGACGACAACGAGATCGGCTTGGTGGCTCGAATCCTTCGGTTTCTGGATCTTTGATGAGTACGGTAGATGCCACGTCAAGACTGACTTTTCGGACATTTTTCTGAAAAAATTGGGCGTCTTGTGTGAGAAAAGGATAGGGAACGGATGATGGGCGACTGACAAGCTTGTGATTCTGTCAGGCCAGATTCTAACTAAAACCACCACCGGAAAAACTGAAGAAAAGCCCAAAAACTTACTGGATTGCTCAGCAGAACCATCAGAAATCTTCTGCATAGTTGAGCTAATGAATTCCGTCCCTGTCGATCCCGACTATCCACTCTGGATCGTTTCTCGGTTTCTGTCCTTCTTGGCTCAAAAGAAGTGGTTGGAGTGGTTGGTGCTGAAGAGCCACTGACAAACGAGCCGACCGTATCCTTGATGCCTTTGTTTCCGCGTGGCGATTGTAGTTCGGTGAATGAGCACATGGCTTGCTCGACACGAAGCACACGATCTGGCAGACCTTCTTCAATTGCTTCTGCCTGAAATTGTATTATAAGATTTGGAGAAATCTAGTGCAAGACAAACCTGCAAATCAGCCATCAATCTTGGAAGTGACTCGAGTCCTTGCCATTGATAATAGGATTTGTTGGTTTTGTGCATGGCGTCCAGCGCTTCCATTACATTCACTATATCGTAGATTCGACGTTTTTCGACACACATCTTCCTGGCCACTGTCTCCAGATGAACCTCTTTTGTTGGTGATTCTTGAGTCTCCTCATTGATCGAAATCAGAAATCGCTGGCACAATAATCCTAAACTTTTCTCCTTCCGTGATGTGAATTCTGGATCGTCCTCTGACTCGTCAGCACTGTTGGTCACAGTTGGGTCTGCAATATGTTGCACTTTTTGTTTGTCACTTTGCCCTTTTTTGAGGTAATGACCCTTATCATGATGCCACGGGTCATTTCAACTAGAACTATACGATTTTGAAAGTGTTACATTCGGCCGAAAGCTCTCGAACCTGTCAAAAAACCCTCGGCACTGAGCTGTGAAATAGTGATGATAAGGATGGAAACTTAGAGAAATGGTCAAAAAACTGTTATCAGAGATGACCGTTAGAGAGTTGTTGATAAGCGAAAAAAAAACATACCTTGTGAGAGAAACGACGCATCCGAGAGCTGTGAAGTGGCTGGAGATGGACGGGGAACTGGAGACGCTGTGAGACTTTCTGTGTCGGGATCTGCTGGACGGTTGCCACGTGGCTCGGGGAGCAAGAACGATTCCTCCTGAAAGATTTGGAGTTAGGAGGGCTGGGTGTAATGTAGATTTTTTGGAAATTAAGGTTTTGCTTGATGACTTAAAATGGATTGAGCTCATTTATCTCGGGTCTTATAAGAGATATTAAAATATTGTCAACGGATAAAATGCTTGCGATATAATGATTAACAATTTGTCAATTGACAACTTTTTGTGTCTTTCACAGGAACCGAGATAAATTGGCTCAAAGTTTAAAGTTAGTGGGCCCTTCTATTACAGGCTTTAGGTTTTCTGAATTCCTGAAATCAAAATCCCTAGAGCTTCATACGATTTTATCTCTCGCTTTTTTACAATCCTACAGGTCGTGACCCTCTTTCTAGCTTATGACCAGATGGTCCCGTTGGGAAAATCATCCATCTCTATCCTCCTAGGAGGGGGTGCCCCTCAAGTACCCGCCAAAAAACCCCAACCTTTTTGATGTCAATCTCGGTGCCGGGCGGGATGTTCTCCTTGTTGGCTTCAATCGTCAGAAAAATTGCATTGGAGGACCCGTACACGTTTGCTGTCATCTGAATAGGAAATTTGGCTTCAGATTCTGAATTTTAGAGGAAAAATGAAGAATTTCAACAAGTTGAAACGATAGATAAGAGTCAAAAAAAAAGTTGATTCAAAATTTGAAAATTCCAAAATGGGTTACTGTATCCACCGGACCTAACCAGGATGGTTACTCCCGGGAAGTTTTTTCTGGGAAAAAACGTCTTTAACTATATGTAAACAGAACAAGGAATAGAAAAAGAGATGGTGGATTAACCCAAGGGGGCGTATGGTGTCACACAGGGCAAGGAGACATTTGGTGTATGCGGGTAGGAGGTGTGCGCAAGAAGAGGAAAAAGAGGAAGACGATGGTGAAGGAGGGGCGGAGGGACACACAAGTGAAGATCATTTGATTGGAAGAGACGCAGACATCAGGCACCTGTTGGGTGGAGAGTCTCTAGAGAAGAGAATGGAAACAGACACGATACGCTCGCTGCTGCTTCCCGCGCCTCTCTCTTTCGAATTTTCGAATTGTCGCCCAAATGAGGTTCAGGTGCAAATGGGCTTGTTATCAGTGAGTGAGGGAAATATTGATTTTAATCGAAAGAGGGAAAGGTTGACCGATGGGAACTCTTTCTTGATTTTTATCTATGGATGTTACTGGCTGTATAATGTTGCATGGTGGCAATGATGGTGTACTCGATCTTAGGTTAGCTTTTGAGATAAGCAGAAATGAGGGATCTTGATAGGAGAAGAGAAAAAGGGACTAAAGGGTTTCCGGGAGAGATACAGTAACGCTGGGAAAATTTTTGATTTGAAAAATTGAATTCAGCGAAGAAAAATTCGGTTTCCAGCGCTTGGAAAAGAGATTTTGGCTTTAGTTGTTATTTTGAAATTTTCACAGTAGATAAAACAAAAATAAAACTTTATTTTTGTAAGTGACAAGTTTTTTCTAGCTATCGTAGTTTTTGAGATACGCGCCTTTAAACGATGCGGCGCGTCCCGTGGCGCCAATGAAAATGCGTGATCTTTAAAGGCGCATGGCTCAAAAACTACGGTAGCTAGAACAAAATTGCCAACTGCAAAAATATTTGATCGTTCATAATCTACATTTTCATAATAAATAACTTTTTAGTATCCTTTTTGGTTTTAGTGATATGAGCCTTTGAAAGTTTTGACAATTCCAGAAAAATCAAAATTCTGACTTTTCGAAAAAAAAACAATTTTTAGAGATATTTTTGAGGCTTTCGAGCTTTTTTAGGATCAAGTGGGATTAATTGAAATTCTGAAAATTCTTTTTTCACATATTTCAAAAAAAAATCGAAACCGAAATCTTGGGCAAGAAAAAATGGAAAGTGAGAAAAGAGGAGCTTTTTTGTCCTTGAGAGAAGGCCAAGCCATCTTCTCCCGCCAAGAAAAAGAAAATCAAAAAACAACATCTTATGAAAAATCATCTGGTGCGATTTCAGATCGTTCTAGAGTTATTTCTATATTTCCTAATATTAGGGGTTTGAGGACCATACCTCTACAAAATTAATTATGACCCAGTCTAAAGAAATATAAGTGCAGGTACATAAGTATCTCAATTAGTTTTGCGCAATTTGTCCTCTAGTACCAATTGGTTCCCAGATAGAGAGAGAGAATGAGAGAGCACATTTCTCTCTTTGTCCCCCCAACAGGCAACAGAGTACAATTTCATGTCACTTTCACATTTTTCTCATTTTTCCCGCGCCCCAGACATGAACACCATCTCTTTCACTGTGTCTCTCTTTCTCCTTCTCTGATTTTGCGGGAGAATATTTGAATCGGTTTTATGGTAATGAAGACTCTTCATTGAAGGAAAGGGGATATCTCGAATGCGCCATCTCCTTATCGCGGATCATGGATCCGTGGATTTTATTTCGACAGGGAAGAGAAAAGAAAGAAAAGGTGCGATGTTTGGTTAGATAGGTGTGATGAGGTGTCCTTTTGTATGTGTCTGGGGTCTGTGAGGTGTTTTCGATTTGGGTCACACAATCAAATTTTAAAAACCCGGGAGAAAAAAGTTTTAAATGTTGGATAAGGAGCAAAGTTACCGTAACCCTTCTAATAGAAGCTCACCCAAATTCTCAACTTTCAGCCCATATATCTCGGTTTTTTCAAAAGAGACCAAAAAGTTGTCAACTGATAAAATGTTAATCATAATATCAGCAATATTTTGTTAGTTGGCCACTTTTAAATATCTTTTTCGGGAACCGAGATAGTTGAGCTCAAAGTTGACGGTTTGGGTGACCTTTTATTAGAGCACTTTCAACTTTGAGCCCATATATCTCGAGTCTTGTGAAAGATATCAAAAAATAATTAACTGGCAAAATGTTTATCAAAATATCAGCAACATTTTGTCAGTTAATTATTTTTTGATATCTTTTACAGGAAATGAGATATATAGGCTCAAAGCTGACGGTTCGGGTGATCTTTTATTGCAGTGTTTACGATAGATGCAGGTGTTGGAAATCCTAAACTATTGGGGTTTTTCGAAGAAAAATGAAAATCCTAAAGTTTATCCCAGGAAAACTGAAATTTTTTAATTCGTTATCAATTCAAATTAAATTACAAATTGCCAGGTTTTAAACTCAAATGGTTTGGTTATCAGGAGTTTCAGATTTCCTGGCGTAGAAGGGAGCCAATTTTTGTCGTTTTTTGAGAAAGATATCGGAAAATCGTCAAATGATAATTGTTCATCATTATATCAAAAAAATTTTGTCAGTGGACCACTTTTTCATATCTTCTACAGGAACAACGATTAATTGGCTCAAAGTTGATGGTTCGGGGCTCTTTCGCTCTAGAAGCCCACATGACATGCACTTTGAGTTCAATTATCTCGGCCCCTCTGATATATATATAACAAAAATTCGTCAAAGGATAAAATATTGGTGATATTATGATAACTAATTTATCAGTTGGAAATTTTTTGTTATTTCTTATAGGAACCGAAATAATTGAGCTCACAGTTGACGGTTTGGGTGAGTTTCTATTAGAGAAAATACGGTATTTCCTGTTCGAACCACAATATCCTTTGTCTCTGTCTAAACCAATTTTCCCTCCTTGTCCATCTTAATATACCATTCATTCCTGTAAAATGATGATCCAGGATAATCCTAAACCAGTTTTCATCCAATTCAAGGTCTCCTCGTTCTCCCATTCCACCTCAATTATTCGCGTCTCTTTATCCTCATACAGTCCTAGAGCACCTGCCTATGGTCATGCCCGTTTACCCGCAGAACAGCTTCTTCTGTCTTCTTATATTCAAATGCAACAGATGCTCGGCGCAATTTCCTGTTAGAAACCCTGCTTCTCTCCGTTCTCTACACTGTTTCGAAGTGACCGATGATGTTGGAGAGAGAATAAATAAAGAGAGATGGGACCGTAAGGAACAACGGGGCCGTATTTTGGGGCATTTGTTTGTGATTAATTCTGAAGATATGCAGATTGTCTGCTGGTGTCATTTGATAGGATGACGGATCGGAGGTCCGAATATTAAATGAACTGTCAGTTATTTGAGTATTTGAATTTCGCTGGTGAGCAGAAATGTAACGCAGGTAATTCAGAAATTTTTAATTCCGATGTTTCAGGATCGGAGAAATATTATTTGAATTCAGCCTTTTCAGAAATTAGGAAGGGAACCTTGAAACCCTGATTTTTTAAACTTGAGAAGCTGAAATTTCTAGAGATTTCCATTTCTGCTAGAAGCAAAAAATTCTGAAATTAGAAACTTAGGAAAGTCTTCGAAAGTTTCGGAATCTAAAACTCTAAGAAACTATTCGAGAATTCAAAATCTGGAGTTTTAAAATCCTGGAATCTTAGAATCTCGGAGACTTCTGGGTCCTAGCATCGTGGATCGACCTTGAAAGAAATCAGTCTTACTGAATCATGGATTCTAAAAATACCGAGGACTTCAGAAGTTCAAAATGTTAGAATGTTAGAATCTCAGAATCTCGGAAAATGAGAATCTCGGAATCTCGGAAACTCGGAAACTCTCAATCTCGGAATCTCGGAATCTCGGAAACTCGGAAACTCTCAATCTCGGAATCTCGAAATTTCGGAATCTCGGGATCTCGGGATCTCGGGATCTTGGATTCTCAGAATCTCAGAATCTCAGGATCTCAGAATCTCAGAATCTCAGGATCTTAAAATCTCAAAATCTCAGAATCTCAAAATCTCAGAATCTCAGAATCTCAGAATCTCAGAATCTCAGAATCTCAAAATCTCAGAATCTCAGAATCTCAGAATCTCAGAATCTCAGAATCTCAGAATCTCAGAATCTCAGAATCTCAGAATCTCAGAATCTCAGAATCTCAGAATCTCAGATTCTCAGAATCTCAGAATCTCAGAATCTCAGAATCTCAGAATCTCAGAATCTCAGAATCTCAGAATCTCAGAATCTCAGAATCTCAGAATCTCAGAATCTCAGACATCTCAGAATCTCAGAATCTCAGAATCTCAGAATCTCAGAATCTCAGAATCTCAGAATCTCAGAATCTCAGAATCGCGGAATCTGAGAATCTCAGGATCTGAAAATCTCGGA